CAGCCAGCTTCCACTCTCTCCACCTCCCAGGCTTTGCATTGCCTACCTTGGGAAGCCATAACCCACTCTGTTGTGTGACATTAGTCTAAGACTGAGTGGAGGGCAGCCCACAGACGTGCTGGGTTGTCGACCCAAAGGAAGGGGAGCACAGTGGAGTAACCGAAGAGGTGTCCAAAGTTTAAGATGGTCGAGCACTTGAAAAACCAGACTGAAAATGTTCACAGAGAGCTGCAAATTACTGTAAGGAAGTACCCAATGTGGCGATTTAACTGCCAAATACTTCAATATTTAAAATAGATACATTTTACTAAGTATAGTCATAACTCAGTGAAATTCATTTAAACCAAAGCACAGAATTTCTAGAACTGAAAAAATACAATGATCTAAAGCTAAAAGCTCACTGAGATTAAAAGCAGAGTGGGAAGGCCCATGCTTCTGCCAGAAAAGGGCTAACATCTTAGGAATTGCCTGTTATAATCAACTACAAAACAGACAGAATATACCAAGTAGCTGTATTCAAATGCTAAACAACAGACAGCCCAGAACTGAGATCCCTAAGAAGAGAACAAATAAAGGAAGGTCTACAAACTCTCAGCTCACTGCCTTACCAGTAGCTTCCCACTGACACAGAGAGGAACCCAAATAGAGCTGAGATCTTTGTGAATTGAGGAGACAGATGAACAGCAAGTAGGTCAAAGTGACAAGAATACAGTAGGGCAGGGAGCTGCACTGAGAGAATAATACCTGGAAATGAACAGAGGGACCCCTTGAGCCTTCAGCTGAGTACTGACCTGGTCATGGGTTGAGAAAGCTACCAAGGCTACAGAAAGAAACACTAGAGAGGAGTAAGGCAGAATCCCGTGAGTCACAATTTGGGAAAAGCTTATGTTTCACCAACAAAACAGAATATACCAAGCATCAGAATCCTAAGGATACTGCCTTAATCGGGCAGATAAATTAGCACAACATTAAAGACTATGCTAGATCAGTCCAAACAAACCTTAGGATAAAGTTTTTAAAAGATCGATGGATCCCAAGTAACTTGTATGCATGCCAGACAAAATTAATGTTCTTTAAAGAAGTAAAATAAAATCCAACACAACTTCTTTAAAAAGTCCATCATTCAATCAAAAAAAAATATTATCAGGCATGTAAACATGCTCCGTAGCCAGACCAATCAATCAATAGAAATAATAAATAAATCCAAAGGTGACAGACGAGGGAATCAGCAGATAAGCATATTAAAAAGCTTCATAATAGATGTGTTCCACATACTCAGACAAAAATATGAACATGAATATGAGTGAAATGGAAGATTTCAAGAGGACCCAAATGCTAACTCTAGGAAAAACAATTTCTAAAGTAAAAACTCAAACACACAGGATTACTAGATTAGACACTGCAGAATAGCTACACTATGACCAACATCCCTACACATACGAAGTGCATGCACTACACTCTCCTTTTCAACACTCATTTAGCCTAGGTCGAAATAGGCCAGGTGCTTGCTGCCCATCACCAACCTTCACGACAACCTACAGTCACTCCACCACCCACAGATTTTCACTACTTCATTCCTCATGATGGGCTCATGGCAACAAGATCTCCCAAGTTCTTGTTCATTCATAAGTATGTGTCATCTTCACCTGGAAAGTTACTTTTGGCTCATATCTTCTTGAGTACCCTAAAAATGCTATTCAATTTTCTTTTGCATAAAGTCTTATAAAGTCAAAATTGGATAGTGAAGTCATTTTTCCTCTATATTATCACAATATAAAGAACCAAAGAATCAAAGCTAAAAGTTCCTAAAAAGACTAACAAAATTTATAAATGCCTAAGAAGATTGATCCAGAAAACAGAGAAGATACAAATAACCAAACACATGAAAAAGTGAGCAATGCTAACTACCCTACAGAAAACGTAATCAAAAGTCATTGTGTATATTTATTAACTAACTATACTTATAAAATTCTTTTATCTCTATCTCACCTATCAAGTGGAATAATCTAAGAACAGAATTTACCAAGATGTTCATGTATGTTCTTTAATCTACTGATATTTCCAAGCCTAAAGTGACAGCATACACACTAAATTTGACTTTAAAAGCTCATTTTTATACGCAATCATTTTAAACCGGTGATTAAAAGAGACAAATATATGGTCAAGCTGCTATCGATATACAACAATGTTGATGGGTCTGAAAAGCATTACACTGAATGAACAAAGCCAATCGCAAAAGGTCAGAGAACATGACAGCTATAAAGTGTCATAACTAGAGAGATGTATTGCCTGCTGTCAGCGATGGGGAGAAGGAAGAATTTGACTCTAGAGGGGCAGCTAGAAGGGGATCTTTGTGCTGAGCAAACAGTCCTGGATCTCAGCTGGGGTGAGTTACATTAACTATCTATGAGCAATAAAATGGCATACACTGTTAACAATGTCAATTTCTTCATCCTGATACTGTACCATAGTCACATAAGATGTAACCATTGAAGGAGTCTGGACAAAGAATAAATAGCAGCTTCTCTTCCTTCTTTGCGACTTCCTGTGAGTCTATTATTATTTCAAAATAAAAACTTTAAAAAAACTGCTTCATACATATCCAATTTCATGCTCCTCTTCAAAGAACCCAAAAATAGAAACTGTAGGAGATTCATCTGAGTAGAGCTTATGCAAGAAGAAAGAACAGGATAACACCATTCCTGGACTCAAGCTCAAAGACACGCCCTTAGTCTTACATCAAAACTCCCAAATAAATGTATGTATGTTCTAAGAATAAAAAGGTTTTAAAGTATCATGTAGTATTTCCTATAGTTCCTTTCCTTAATTAATGTTTTGGTTCAATGAAAATCTACCAATCATATCAAGACTTTAAATGTCAACAAAAACGGTAATGGCACTGGCTACCTTAGCTAACATATCTGTACTGTACTGTATCTTCAAGAGCAGTGAAGGAAAAAATGGTGACTCAAGGTATTCTACATAACAATCAAAAATGAGTACAGAAAAAGCAAAAAAGCATTATGTATGTTTTTAAAAAAAAAACCACATGCCCTCCATCATAAAGGGAACTCCACTGGAACCAGCTGGTTGCAAGGTTCTAGGCCCAAAGTGTCTAAACATGTACAATCAAGTGTCCAGGACAGCTGTCTGTGTTCTTCATCATATCCACAGATTAAAGTTTTTAGTGTGAACAACTGATAAATTAATTTTTAACAATAAATTTTATAGTCCCCAAGTATCCTTTTTTTCTAAGTCACTAAAAATTACAAGAGCATTTCAAACAAAATAGCCACAGAATTGTGTGTATTAAATTTTGTTAAACTCAATGGGTAAGACACATTCTTCTATCACATTAGCCTACTCTATTCATTAACCAGGGGACAATTCAGTTTCCAATACAAAAGCACGGTCTAAAGAATGGGATGCTTCCCATTCCCAGTGGGAGAGACATCCCTAACCAGGATAAAACTTGTCAATCCAAAGCTTGCATCTTCAATGTGTCTACAGGAAGGATTCCAAAACTGTATTTAAGTAAACCCTTAGGGTAAAATGACCACACTCAACCCTCACTTTTAATGAGCAAAGTTAGAGAAATTTGAATAAAACCAATCTCAACAATCATTTTTTCCCCCCACAATATTGAATAGCTTCAATACCCATACCACATTTCTCCTCTGGGGCACTATCCAAAACCTAGGTGTCTTCATTTATTCCTAGGAGGAATTTAGTAGACTCTTGAAAGTTATTTAAAATTCCAAGAAAGCAAGCATCACAGATTATTAAGGAAAACGTCATTAGGTATTGTTCTTTAGTTCAACAAGTGTCTCAAAATGCATAAACAGTAAAAGAAAAACAATCCTTAAAACCAGTATGTCTGAATCTCCAGATTTCAAAAATAAAAAATTGTATTTACTTTCCCCACACCCCTTTAAAAAGCAGGACAAAGGAAAACATGCTGTGATTGCTAAATAAAAGCAAATGTTTAAGCAAAAACAAACCAAAAGAATAACTTTTATGCCAATTCTTCATCCAATTCTTTGTGCTTCTTATCGAACTTCACACCATCATAACAACCTAGATCTACAACATAATTCTAAATACTTAGCTCTCAGACCTACTGGAACTCAATACAAAACTATCAGGGAGGGGCAATAATGCCTTGCTACAAATATCTATGATCAATAGCTTAAGAAAACATGGCTCTTGATTAAAACCATCATGCACGATGCAAGATTTTTTTATAGAATGTAGACAGTTTAAGAAGTCCTTAAAACAATTATACTCAAAGAGGAAAAGACATACACAGTACAAAACACGTCAAAGACTTCTTTTTGCTGGTAGTGCAAAAAGAAAGTAGGTCTACCAAACCATTTGTAAATAAAACTAACTTGTGTAAAGAACAGCACATAAATATGTTACTGAGTTTCTGGACAAGCTCGCAGAAATTAAATCAAAACATTAGGGAATGTAAGACCACCAGTTTGTTTCCATGTCCTCCAGGTAAATTCTGGGTGTTCCTCATGGCAAGAACACAAACGCAAAACAGTTCAACTGAACTCTTGTCCCTCCAGAAACACGAGGAGGAGATCCCATAAAATGAGGGAGTTTCTGGAGGACCTAACAAATTGCTGCACTTTACATCTGCTCCACATCAATAGCTGAACACCTCAAAAACTGTCATTAAACAGTCACCAAGATATGGTTCAGAAAGCTAGACATCTTAAAAAACAGTAAATAAAAAAAAATCCACAACTAGATGTGAAGTTTCCTGCACTTACAAATAACGGTAATTAAACTGTGGCCACACACCATCTACAAAAACAGCAATAAAAACTGACACAATCAAAGGTTCGCTTTAAGTTACAGGAAGTAAACCTGTTCTCCAATTTAGCAAGATCCAATGTGCATCCCTTTAATAAATCCTGGCGAAAGCCTTAATCAGAAATTTAAAGATGGAGGCAGGAACACACCAAGAAAAAGGCATTTCAAAACCCCACCTGTATATCTGTTTTCAACCATTTGGAGTCAAGTCGAGCCTGGGCAGCCAGACAGAAAGAATCGGTGGGCATCTTTCCTCCGGTCTCCTCCCCGTATCAGACCTGCAAGTAAAACGAAATGTTGAGCACCCACGGCTTTTTGAATTTTACAAAGACCCTCCCGCAAGGCTGAATGCGGCAAAAGGGAGAACAGAAAGAGAGGAGAGGAGAAGAGCTGGGGGAGGGGAACGAGAGGAGGAGAGAATGAGAAAGATGGAGAAACAGGAGGAGGGCAGCAAAGCCTACTTCCAACCCAGGTAAGATCCACACATGGGATTCGCCCAGTTTTCTTTACTCCGTCGGCGAGACCTTGAGAATAGACGGTCACAGAAGACCAAATCACAATGTCATCCCCTTCCCTTAATCCAAAAGGAACACACACACACAGACTAGCAGCCCACACTTCAACGACAAGTGACACCAGCATGCATCTGTAGCTTTCTTCCAGACCGGTGAGCGGAGCGTGAAACAAATCAACCAACATTCACGTCTACAGGAAAATTCAAAACAATAATCACTTAGAAATGGACAGTCCCAGACGCGCGCCGCGGGCGGTCCGCGCAGGCCCACGTCCGGCGGTCGCGCCAAC